TCTTTAAAATACCTTCCAACCTCCACCCATTTGCTCAGGGAAGTTGTGGAGTCTCCTTCTCTGGAGATCTTCCCAACCTGCCTGGATGCCACCCTGTGCCCCGTGCTCYGGGTGTCCCTGCTGGAGCAGGGGGTTGGACTAGATGATCTCTAGAGGTCCCTTCCAACCTCARCCATTCTATGATTCCGTGATTTAAGGTTGTTATAAGGATGGATTAGGAGTAGACCAGAATGGTAACAATGGAAAAAGTGTCCACTTTAGGATGGGCTGCCTGAAAAACGCTCCTCAAACTGAACTTTACAGACATTGTACTAATTTGTGGATATTGTAGAAATTTGTGCAAAAATATATGGTCTAAGTAAGTTACCTATCATTACAAATACTGCTCTTTACCCYCTTGGATTACTGACAGTGATAATCCTTCTCTCAAAACAATAATTTTCTGAAAGATATGTACAGAGGCATAGCTAAGCATATGGACAAAACCATTTAAATATAAGTACATTACAAAATAAAACACAGAGATCCCATTCTTACAGCCTTGACATGCTCAATTTCCTCTCAGATTTAGACTTTAAAATTGAAACAGGAAAAACTGGCAGAATAAGCTTGTGTGAAGGCCCAGGTACCATGTCAGATACAAAATGTGTCATTATTGCATTAGTAATGAAGTCACCCAATACGACAGGATAAGCCAGTGGTCCTTCATACTTACAAGAAGAGACTTTGCTAAGACAGAAATAAAAGCAATGACAGCACAAAGGCAATGCACAATCCTCYAGGCAAGAAGAAATGCCATCTCTTAACAGAGCAATGCTGAGGTCACCTCAGCAGCCCCTCAGTTCTACTCTTTCCATCAGAAAACACGGTAATATTTGCAATTTTGATTGATGCAGAAGAAAGCAGTATCAGCTTAAGAAAACAATAAAAAAAGAAATTTTGCAAACTCTGTTAGTTTCATATATGAAAATGGCAATGAAAGCAGCAGAATCACTTATAAAGTATTTGGGTCCTAGGTGATCTGATTCAGAGAGTTGTGTTTATTACATGCATTTATTTTGCTCTATTAAATGTAATCAGAAAGAAGATGAGAGGGCCTCTATTATCTGCTTTCATGATGAAACCCATTAGGTTAACCTGGTGAATAATCTGCACTGATAAATGGCCATGAAGGCTAATCCTTGTGGCTCTTTCCAGAATTCATTGCTCTTTTCAGAGTGCCTTTGTGGTACTTCAAATAACCCTAACTGTGAAAACTTCTCCATGAGCCATGCGAACCAGAACAAACAATATTCTTTGATGCTAAGAACTTCATTTTGTTCATTTATCTGTTCTCTTACACAACACAGACAGTAGAAACTTGCTGCTCAGCCTGAACACCGGGTTTCAAGCCGACTGGATTAATTGCTGCCAATATAATTTAAAAACATAGGTCAAGGTGTGAAATACACATAYGTCCTGCTCCTGAACCTGCAAGCTGTTGAGTCCCATCTCAACAAGAGGTCTCTGTCACCTCCTGTGAGTATATATCTAAAATGCAGAAAAGCTCAGCAAAATCTGTTAGAATAACAGATTTAATACTAAAATCACTATTGCCATCTCAAAAAAATATTCAAAGCAGACAGAAGTGCTGCTTCCATCCTGCTGCTGGTATTTAGTTCTGCCTGGACAGGTGAAGAGTTCACAGATCAAGGAGCCCTGGATAAGTTTTCCTTTTCTTACTGCATCATTGGAGAGCACTGCTGGAACAACTGATCCACAGGCAAAACAAAACAAAACAAAGCCAAACAACACAAAAATCTATGAAACTTGCATCTCAAGCTTTGCCCCAACCATTGACCCAGGTGTTAATTTAAGGTGGGAGACAATCTTAAAAAGACTGGATTCATACTGATACTGTTACGAAAACAATTTTTTTTTTTAAGATCACCAGAGAAGCAACATGGGAACTGAAAGAATCAAAATTGATTAGAGATCGTTGCACTGAGGGTGGTTTAGTCCCGGTGCTGCCTTTCACAAATTCTACAACTTAATCTAGTACAGGTGGGCCACACAGGCCACTGTTTAAAATTGAAATGTCACAGGTCCGGGATAACTTTAATCCTGCACTTCTTGAATATACCAGGTGAGGGTGGTGTCTATGTGGCTCATCAGAGAATCAGGCCAAAGTCTGAACTATTTCRTTTGGGCTGCAAGCTGGTATCTAGCGACAAAGAACTCTGGACCTCAAACAAACCCTTTGCCAACTGCAAAGTGATTTTCCATGAACCATGTTCAGTTTGCAGAGGTTTAGGACATTTTCATTTTACTGAAGCATTAGGTGGTAGCCAGGAGACTGTTCCCTTCCTTAGAACTGAAACTGTAGTGCAGAATGAGTAAAAGTCATTCTAGTTTGCAAATCTTTTGCAGCATGATGTGCATCTATCAGTGAAAACAAGTCCCTATGAAAGCTGGGTATTTCTGAATCCACATTCATGTTTCCACAATTTCCTAGCATTTCCTATCATTTACAAATTCGGTATACACAACCAGAAGTTTTCCCAAATTGTAACCCAAAGTAAAAATCTTCAAACAATCTTCAATTCACCTGTTTGGATGTACACCTAGCCTAAATGTATATTTTGAATTCCTCTTGCAAAAATTACTTCATTTACCCATCAATGTTTCTGCATCTCCAATACTATAATTGGAAATAATAGTTTATTGGCTGTTTGCCTACTAGTAACTTATTTGTTCCGGTCTCGTTTATTGGAGATGCAGAAACTTAGCTGCTTTTTCTAAAATTGAAATATTCTTTGAGCTAACAACAATACATTGTTTTTTTTTGTGCASAGTCACCATCTAACACATTAGGTCTTGTTGAAGTCCATAAAAAATGATGCTTACCCCACTTGCTGAGCTTGCCACGATCTCCTAATGCTGTGCTGAAGCCTGAGGAACACCCGTACAGAATCTAGCAGAGCAGGAAGGGATGTCTTGTGCAATCCCTGAGTAATATCTCTGCTGATTTGCCAGGACTCCCTGTGCTGGTGGTCATTAATCTTTCTCATCCCAAAACAGATGGGGCTATTAGGCAGACTGCAGTAATGGGGAAAACTGGCAAGATACAGAAGGAAACACATTATCTTCTGGATAGAATTGCATGTAAAAATGAGAACATTAAAAATAAATTTTTCATATTTAATTGGACGATGTACGATCATACCTACTAGAAAATAATGTGCAATGTGTTTTGTGCAAGGCATTTGTAAAATGGATGGCTCAGCTGTGCTAGGGCCTTATTTTCCCCTATGGAGAGAAACACTAGATACAATCCTGACAAGGTTTTTGAGCTTTTCCCTCTAAGTTGCTTTGCTGCAAAAACTACTGCAAATAGCACTACAAAGTGCCCTCGCTTGTWGCAGTACAAGGAAAATTCAGTTTATGATTTAACATACAAACCACATAAAGCCTATCAGGTTAAAAATCAGCACTTCAGAAATAATGTGAGCATATTTGATATTCAAACTAAAAACAAACTATGTGGTGGAACTGCAGGTACTGCTGCTAATTCCTTTATGCCATTGAGTCCATGATGATGATTACAAATGAAATAAAAATCACAAATTGCAAATGGAAACCAATTGCTCACAAAGAAAACTRGCAAGGTTGGAAGGAATAACTGAAAGTAGAACTTGGAAAAAAATGTGGTAGATACTAARGACTATTCAAGATAAACAAAGGCATTTTTTAGGGCTGTCAGGTAGGCAAAGATTTGATAACTTTTAGCCAGAAAAGTGACAAGATGGAAATTACAGCCAGACATTTGAAGGTACATATTGTGATGATAGTGCTAAATTATGGATGCATATTAGAAGGTTACAACAAGGAATTAAATAAAGGTAAGTACTTTAGATAAAACTTAAATCAAAGAGCATTTTTATATCGAAGAGAGAAGTAGGAAAAAAAAAAAAAAAAAAGGAGGATCAGGCACCTGCCAGCATTATTTGAAATAGTAATTACGGGTGAAACATGGTAGGATGTCAGAAGGTGATGGGACACTGAATTTGGAAATACACTCTTCAGAGTCTGGTGCTGGATGAGGCTCAGTGAGCTGCCAAGATTCAGGTGATTCGAGTGAGGTAACATTTTTGGGAGAGGAGAAGGGAGACATGGAACAGAATGTGTCAAGGTAGGATCCCAAATTAGAAGACTGCAAGAATTCTGTAGGACTTTATTTCTGATCTCCTGACTAGGAGATTAATTTTAAAAGATTAAAAATATAGCTTTTTTTTTTAAAAAAATCAGCCCCTCTAAACCTCATTGGGTTAAATTAGATACAAAAATTAAAAAAAAAAAAAAAACAAAAAAAACACCCTTTTTTCCTTTTAAAAGAACAATCAGAAGCCCTAAAAATAAATCTTCAGATTCAAAATGGTTATGAGCAGCAAAATAGTAATGGTACTCCCCTAGATAAACAAAAAAGAAGGACAAGGAAATGCTGGTATGATTCAACTGTAAATTTCAGAAGTTTTTCAGAAAAAACCTTCAGAGAACAGAAATCAAAACTTTAAAGCTGTAAGAAAGATATGTAATAGTGAGGATGGAGACTGAGCAAGGTAAGAGGAATGTGAAAAGAAAACAGGAGAAAGTTAAAACTGAAAACACACATATGTTCAGTACATCAAAACCAGAAAACTTGAGAAAACTGGTAGGCCACCCCAAACAGTAAGTAGAGGTAATAATTAAAGACAATATGGACATTGGCAAGAATCTAAATGATTTATTTGCATCAGTCTTCACCAGAGAGGGTAYTGGAGTGATATTTAAATGAGACTTGCACTTCCAAATAACAAAGATAAGGGGAGGTCATAGACTGAAGACTCAAGAGAGAGGTTGATGGAACAAATCAATAAATGAAAGGCATTAAGTTACCATGTTTATCTGATATTTCTTGAGAGTTCAGGAGAAATCTGAGAATTAGGTAACAGAAGTTTCTAACATTTGCTATAGCAGAGGCCTGGAAGACAGTCAGGGTTGCAACTGGGTTAGATTTTTGCTATTTCTATTTCTTTTTTCATGGTGTTGCAGGAGTCCTGGCAGTTAGAGACAGGCAAGTAAATCTAATTTGCTTTGACTGAAATTGGTACTAAAAACCATCCCCTGTTCCTCTCAAATTATGAAGCAYGTAGACAAACATGACATGACAGATACAAGTCACACGGTGTCTATAATGAAAAGAAGAGGCTTCTTGAAATTACTAGCAACCTTTGAGCTGGTTAAACCAGTCAGCCCACCTAAGCCTATCATTTGGGAGGTCCCCAAACTTGTTGCACATACAGGAAAGAAGCAAATAAATACTTCCCTGCTCCCCCGTCCCCATCCCATGAGCATCGAGGAGAGGATAAGGTTAGTGTTGGTAAAGATACACCTCAGTGATGTACATGTCCGTGCTACAGGTTAAGCTGTTGCAGGGCAAGCTCCCCCATCTCTGGCCAACACTGTTAAACCAAGGACAGAAGTACATGTGGAAATGAAAGTTTTATGTATATCTAATACTTAGCGGTGGTTGCACTGAAGCTTTTATGTGGGTACAGCCGGTGTTCAGTCCCTTTTAGGATAAGCTTTTGATCTCTTCCTTCACATTATACGATCAACAGGACTTTGTRCTGCAGAGTTTTTCTCATTTGCAACAGTTACACCAACTTGGGCTCTTAACAGGGAGTGATAATGGGATCTGGGGAGTTAAGATTTTGCTTTTGTTTCTTCTTCTTCTTCTTTTTTTTTAATTTAATATAACCTAGTCAGGACTGAGCAGTCATTTCACTTCTTCACAGCCCTTCACAGTTTTTTATGCAAATCTTTAAATGAAACCATTAAGAACAGAATAAAAGTACTTTGGAAAATTATGCAGTGATATATTCAAATATAGCCAAAATTCACAGGGGAAAATGTAACAATTACACATAGTTTCCCACCCCTTTTTATTTCCTGTCAAAGATGTTGCCTTTTTTGGCTTTTCTTATATATGCACAGCATGATGAACTGATATTTGGAGTTTAAATGACTCGCTTAACTGCGTGGTTTCCACTGTAACAGAAAGCGCTGGCAAAATGTCAGGTTAGAAATAAAACCAAGCTCTAGAGGGATGAGGTGGAGAGAAAATAGAAGATCTAGTGGCTGAAAAACAAAATGGAATAAATAAATGGAGCAGAATGCAACATGGATTCATTTAACAGCCAAGTCAGTGGTATTGGCAAGTACGGTCTGTGCGAGGGTCTGGGGTAGGGAGAGAGACACGTTTCTCATTGAGTCATTTCTGCTTTCTCTATTAACATTGCAACAGAAATTACAAGTATCCCTGAACGGGGTAGTGCATTAAACCATCATCTCCTTATCCAATGTAAACACAACATTAATATTGAAGAATAAAGAAAATGGTAAAAAGTCCAGTGTCTTGTTTTCTGTGTTTTGCTTGTTAGGTTTCCTGTCCACCCTCCAGAATACTCCTGTGTATATCGATGTTGTGAACTTGACCATTGCACATTCAAGCAAACATTCACACTCAGATTCCCAAAACATTCTCTTCTCACCCTCGAATGGGGAGTTTTTTCTTAGCAGTTCTGCTCCTTTTATTTATAAACTCCTTTAACGAAGTAGTTCTGAGACCTTGTCGCAGGCAGGACAGCACCCAGGCTACTACTTGCCATGTTTATATTCCCTGTTCAGCAAAGAAGTCCACTTAAATCCCAAGGCCTGAGGCCTTCACGGATGGACATGCACTGAAAGCATCTACAGGAGAATTTTACAAAATGTCTTCTATGGAAAATCCAATTCTTGCCTAAAAAAGATAAAAGAGTTACAACCAGGCCTTTTATTTTAAAAGACACACATGAACAAGTTGCTTAGGTGAAAAMAGACCTTATGCTAACAAGTTTTGTTCACATTCTGGCATAACTATTGTTCTCCTTTACTGGACTACTAGAACTGAAGATGGAAAAGAACACAAGGGTGACATTTCCTTGGCAAGGAAAGGAATGGCATTTAGGATGGGGAAATGGCCAGGTAGGGCATAGAGGATTTTCCTGATAAAACAGAATTAATTTGAGCATAAAAGACCAACAGATATCATGTACACACCTAAACCAGTAACACACCTTCTCTACAGTGCAGTATTGTATAAGCGTCCCCTCAAGTTTCAAGGCTAATTCAGACTTTTGGCTCATCCTGCTTTAACAAGGTCATCCATGTTMACGGGGCCACTGCAAAAGTTCACAGGTGAAAGTTCCTTTTGGAGCAGTGCAGATGTGAAATTCACAGGACAGCGACCCGAAGATCTTCCTTTACAGATAAAAAGCATGTCAAATTATTAAATAGCAACATGAAATCCTATATTCTGAAGACTTGTCTTTGCAGTTAAGAGAACAGCATTTCCAGCCCGTTCCCATTCCCCATCTCCTGTGGCATAGCAGGATCGTGGCTGGCCTCTCTCATTCACATCTCACGAATGCTAAAGCTAAAAGGCCCAGGGAAATCAGGGAAGGGGCTAATGAGCATAGTCTGAAGACATGTCACTTCCAATCTCTACTGTTAGAATTGCCCGGTATGATATAAAAACAGAAAGTATTTCTCAGTTCAAAGTTTGAAGACTGGTCTTCAAACACAAAGTGGCTCCTCCCTTCGGTGTCTTTGATTCCCATAAATGGGCTCTGTTGTGCTAGCTGTTGTTCTCTGCCGTGAGATATTTGAGAGCTGCAAAGCCGTAGTGCCGTGACATATCCTGTTGAAATTCCTCCTTCAGGGTCTTGAGACAGATGCGGTATTGCTTGTTGGAGCGAAACTTGGTGATGTCAAAGCTGGGGGCATGCGGCATGTGGATCATGTAGGCATTGGGCAGCACTGTGAACTCGTACTCCTACGGAAGAAAGACCAGTTGTAAGTGCAGAAATCGTGAACTTCAAGCACACATGCAAATGCATGCTTTTGACCCTATAATTTATCTTATTCTAGGTTTTGGAATAAGCTATAGTTACAGCAGTCTGAGTTTGGATGGGATGAAAATGACAAAAATCTTTGATCCCTCTGAAGTCAGATTTTTGTGGTCCTGAGAAGTCTTTACTACAGTTGTTGCATTGCCTCTTCAATCAAGATGCTATAAGTGGGTAGTGAAGAAGCAGCTACAGAGCTCCTCCAGAGCATGCTGGTTTTAAAAGAAACACTGCCCAACTTCTGCTTTGCCAGCTCCAGTTATTTGTAGATTAAGGAACTTCTGCAAAGATGTAGAGTATCTGCAGCACAAAGGCAAAATATTCTGCATATTGCTATAAAGAAATATATGGGTAAGAACACACTTGTAATGTGAATGAGAACAAGAGTGCTCTCATGTGTATATCTCTCTTCACCTTACAAAACCTGATAAAGGTGGAAGGGATTCAAAACTGCTGGGTCATGATGATGTTAGAAACCAACTCTGAACAATACTGCTGGAAATGAAGCAGCTAAGACTGCAGTGCTACTCCAGAGACGCCTATGAAACAGCAGTACATGTTAGACAGGCAGGTRCAGATGCAGCTTTATGGCTGCTCCTTTCTCATTACGGGAGTCCCTGTACACTACTGGATAGTGCTGGAGTGGTAAATCTTGGTGTCAAGTGGTAGTGCTGTTGTACTTGGGAAAGGGCCTCTGTGAGCTTTGGCTTCGGATGCCACACATACAGTAAGGGCAAAATAAGGTGATCCTTGCACGCAGAATTCCTTTAGCTGGAAGAGATTTAGAACTAATGGGGAACCAAACACAGAATCGAAGGATGATGTGGTACTGCGAGGAGAGCAGATCAGSAACAAAATGCATAACACGTCTCCACAGCTATATAACATCTAGAGCTGAACCCACAGAATAAGATATATTCCTCTCAAAGTCTTTTCCACAGTCGCTGAAAGAATGGGGCAGGGTTTCTGAATGGCCCATCTCTACTATAAGGAAAGTCGCTTCAGAAAGCAATGTACTAGCTGGAACTTCTGTCCTTGTCTCTCAGGCTATAAATTCTTCAGACAGAGATGCCGTTATCTATGTATTTGTACGGCACTCAGTTCAGTGGACACCTGCATGCCCCCCGAATAGCAATCACGATTATCTCTGCACTCATGGCTGCTCTGAAGGAGAGCCCCCTGTAACGGAGCCTCACGCAACCCTCTGACAGATGCTGGAGTCGTGAGGAGCAGTGAAATAGCTCAGTTCAGCAGCTGCTCTTCCTGCTTATGGATAATGGAGCCAGCCGGGGACTCCTTGGAGCAGAGCGATGCCATGAGGGTGCTCAGGGTGCTCACTGCCCTGAGCAACCTCATGGCAGTGTTCCCTCTTTAGTGGGAGGAGGTGTTGTCACATTTATCCCAAATCCTCCCCATTCATTTATGGAGTGGTCAGCCATAGAGGTCAGAATTCAGGAGAAGGATCAAAATACCAAAAAAAAAAAAAAAAAAAAAAAAGGACATAGTTTGAAGTCAGACTAAACAAGTCCCAATTACGGGCCTATCTTAATCTATTTCAAGGAATACAGAGCAACATGACAGGGCAGTACAGTGGATTCTGAGCTGGCATGGGGAATGCTCCTGGTATTTCCAGCTGTCATGGGGAAGGTAGGTGTGCAACTCCACATCTCCAGAGTGAGGTTCTGTAAGAGACTACCCCAGCAAGCCTATTTCTTTCCGTACCAGGGCAGTTTTAAGACCAAAAAGCTGAGAAAAGCCATCTCTCAGCATCAGTTCCAAATCAATGGCTAATTAAAATAGCTGCTATAATTAAAAAAAAATCTTCTGAACTCTTCTGTATAAGACCATAAGCTGGGCAAAACAGACTCCGAATAAACTCACAGTTAMACTGTGAGTGCTAGATGAGAGCAGCCACTGGAAAGGTAAGCTGTGCTACCCAGATGAACAAATCATAAATAATTATCCTGGCACTCTCCACTTTGATTAGTGTTTGGAAAGTGCACTGGAAAAATTAAAGTGCCATAGCAGAGCAAAATATTATAATTGAGGATAATATAGATTTTTTGTTTATTCTGCAATCTTTTTTTCCCTCAACATAAGTAGGTGAAGATTCACTTGGAATGTCCTTTTACAAACAAAGGTGAGTGACAGCCAGCCCAAAGTGACCATGTAATATTATATGTATTGATGCCRGTCTCAGACTTTCTAGGTTTCCTTGGATCTTCTTATATATTGTGCTAAGCAGCTCCATCCTAGAGTCACAGATGCATGAGGCAAAGCCCAAGATAAGGTATCTGGATCCTTTAGGATCTGCCCCACAGTCAGAGATCACGTAAATGTAATGTCCTTGAGTTTGCAGAGGTACTCTGTAAACCCAGRCCAGTAAATGAAGATGCTAGCCTTTGGTTCAGTTTAAGATTGATTTTTTTGAATTCTAGATTGGCACTTAGGACTGACCAAAGTCTGTGTAACGAAGAAACTTCCAGCTAACTCTACAGCTCCCTTAGTAGGTGATGAGATTGCTAGCAAGTACTGCAATACTGGGGCACACTGCTGGGGAAGTGGAGTGCACAACATGAATAGTTCCACCCYGAGACAACAGATTTCTCAGCACTGATAAATTAACTCACTCAGAAACTGTTCTCCTTGATTGACAAGTACTAAACTGGGTACTTCCAACTCAAAGAGTACTCATGAAAGAGTTCAGTAAGGCCAAAGGAGCAATTTCATGATGCAAAGTGTGAACCTATTCTACAAAACAAGAATGTATTTAACTACTCTGCTGCCCCTTGGTGAGGTACGAAGAAGCTGTCTCCTCACCTGTGCATCCAGCTCCATGATGTGAGCCACTTTGTTCCAGCCAAATCCAACAAACCGCCTGTCGTACTCAGGGCAGTCCTTCCTCACGACGACGTATGGCTCGAAGTCTGCTTCCCACTCGACGCGGTACGGGGTGGTGGCTGTGCGCCACTTGGCAAAGTTCGTTGGCGCGTGCCCTTTTGTCCAGACGTGATACCTTCAACAGACATTAATGACAAGGRCACGGGGAAGCAATTAAATAGCAGGCATCTTGGCAAGGCTACAAGAAGTTACTTGCTAGACAGAATGGTCAAAAATAAGGACATTAGTTTGCAGTCCACATTAGAAGCAATTTCTAGGACTATTTCCAACAGACTTCTGAGATCCTCTACGTGCTCAATGCTTAAGCACATGTAGTTGGTGAAGTGTGAAAAAGGTACCTAAAACTAATGCTACTGTGAGAAACAATTACAAAGTACACGGACAGTTTGTCTGCTTTGACAAGTGCTGTGTCTCTTTCCTAGGAGCCAAGTGGCTGCAGCAGTGCTCCAAAATCAGTATGAAATTCTGCAGCTCCGATAAGGCCCCTGAGAACTAGCTATTTCTCCACCACAGCAACATTCATGGTCTGCTTGATATGTAATTTTATAATTTTTATGAGAAACACCTGCAGCTYTGGATAGATGTTCCTTTTTATTAATTACTGTTATTATGGTAAGAGCCAAAATGTCTAATTAAGCTAATAACTAAAATGCTACATAAAGGCTTTCTGCTGTACTTTTCACATTGTGGGGAGTGCCTGTGTGATCCCAAGTAAGATAATCAATCTGGTTTACAGAAAAAAATCCTTTTATAGTTYGTTAAACCTATTTAGACTGCAGCAGGTCCTTCCCAAGCCCAGCTTGAATCGACCCCATCAATGTCAGGGTCAACGATTCTCTCGCCCACTTACTCTTCTTACACCTTCCCAAAAATCAATGAGACAGGCTCTTTCTGCAGACTCATAGATTAAATAACGAAACAAAGGCATAGCAGCCAGTTGTATTACAATGCTCTGGGATGTGTAACAGAAGAAAATCAAACAYCCTGCTCATATGTAAGGTAAGGCACGTTGAAATCACAGGGATGACTCAGGTGCTAAAAGTGAAGGGATTTAATCATTAATTATTTAGAGAATGAGGACAAAAGACAACATTCCAACTCCAGCAATTCTGGTATCATTGCAAGCCTCCACTGCTCGAAACAGAGCGGTAAACACCACCACCTAGGAGGTTACACTTTGGCTGTATATTTGTGTAACTTATAACCAGAAAAACAGAACRGTGTTCAGCTTCTCTGACTCTCTCTGTTAAGCGGATGCACAGACAGACAGAGTTATCAGGATAGCACTTGGGACCCAAGTAATTTACGTTCATTTGAAGGCTGCATTCCTAAATTGTAGCAAGGTTGCATCACTTTCAGGTATCTGGCTTGTGGAAGTTTTGTCTTATTTTCTACATTTACTACTTCTTTTAATAACATTTAAAATGCAAACCTTGCCAAAGATACCARAAGTGATTCTTTATTCTTTTCAGAATGTTTTTGCTCCCTGCCTTTTCCCTACAAGCTTCATGTTTGAGTAAGAAAATGATTTAGTGAAATAAAAGCCTTCCTTGTTCTGTTTTCAGATGCTGAAGCATTTTGCTGGATTGTAGATGCAATCAATTAATTACTTAATCAGTTGCTGATTATGTTTTCTCAATCARATGCATCTTCTACCAACCGCAGTTTTCCTTGTGCCTGAAAGCAGTCCCGCTGCCAAGGAGAGTTTCCACACAGTTTACCTTGCCAGCCACAGATGCTCACATGTTTTCTTTTTTCCTTCTTTCGGTGGTGACTGGGGGATGCAATTGAGAGCTGGTTTGTACTTCTTAGCTGCCCAGAGGCAGAGAAGGTCACCATGAAAAGAGGTGACAAAAGCAATTTCACTGAGGGAAAGATCGTAATCTGCCATGTGGTGTGAGCGACAGGGATGCTGCGGGCACTCGCAGCAATCACTGTCACAGCAGCCTTCCTTCCAGCTCACTCCCACCAGCTCAGCCTCCAATTGCTGTGTTATTAAACCTGCACCTTGAAAGTGCAGGTGGGAATTCTCAGCCCAGATCGCAGCTGCTACGTGGCTGTTGATAGATTTGAGCACAGAAAAGGAGCCAAAGCAAGCCAGGGAAGGAGTTGTAAAAAATGTCCCACATTAACATGCAAACCAACTACAGACCTCCCCTCCTTCAATTCTTATTTAATCCTGCTCTGGTAAAACTCCCACTGATGTTAAAGAGAGTTTCACCTGAGTGAGACTTGGGAAAGGACCTGCAAATCAGCCTGTGTACATACGTAACAAGCCAATATGCTGTATAATTTCAAGATCAAATCTGTGGTTGAAGACCACTGCTGTGCAGGTTGAAAATTTGATTGTTGGTGGAGTGTAACATCAGAAGTAAAAACCTTAGGGTGCTATCTTCCACTAGAAGGATTTTTTTTTCAACTACAGGAGAAATATTTTCTTTTTCTATCAGCAAGTCTCTTCTTAATCTGTACTTTTTTCCTGCTGTTAAAGAATAAGTGGAGAGGGGAAGAGGCTTGCTCTCTTAGTAGTCCTGGATAATTTTCCAGAGCAGCATATGCCTTTCCAGCGTCTGAACCACCTCAGGTTTATCTTTCAAGGCAGGCCCTGGTAGAAGTAGTGTCTAGAGTTATTGTCTGCAGCATCACACAGGCTGCCTGTTACCACGGGGTGGAAGGAAGGGTGTCTGCTGCAAGGAGAGAGGGTAGGATTCAGGGAATGGACGCAGGGTGAGAAAAGCTCAAAGGTAAGGCAAGGATGGGAGAGGCAGTAAAGAGCTCCTTTGTTTATAGATAATAACTAGCATTTTTAAAGCTGTTTTTATCTCTAGATCTCAAAATACTATACAAGGACAGGTGGACATTATTACCTGCCTTTCACAGTTTAGGAACAAAGACATAAGATAGCAAAGTAATTTTCATACCATCTCCCAGCACAGCAGTAGAAGAGCTGAGAAGAGAACCAAGTTTCCTACGCTCTTTCTGGTGCAATACCATAAGGCCATATTATTTTCCTTCCATCACTATGATGTTTAAAAACATCTACTAATCATACCTTACCATACACCCAACAGACAGTTAATGCTTGATAGTCACATTTTAAAACTAATTAATCTGTGGCAGATAATGGAAGTGACTTGCTCACAGCCCCAAAAAGAGACTGCTTCAGAAAAGAGCTCCAAGTTCAGGTGTTCCTGGCTTCTTTAAAGTCAGAGCACAGTGTTTTGTTCCTGCATTGAGAAACTTTAAGCAGCTGTTTCATACTTTAAAAGATACACRACAAGCTTGCATTCTTTGTTTTCCAAAGAGTCAGTAATGAAGTGAACCAATGAACAGAAAGAAATTATTTGTAAACACCTGAATGACACAGCTACCTTGATAGTACTTGGCAGCCCACAAAGCAAATTACATGCACAGGAATGTAATGGTCTCGCCTGATTTTGCAGCACAATAAAAAATAATGAAAATAAAATAAATACAATTGAGCAACTGAAGTCCTTTTGAAGAGCAGTACACTACTAGACAAAATACTGAGCTTACAGATGGAATGTATCCACATGATGCTGTTYGTTGTTTCTCTGTGAAAGGGAGGAGGGAAAATCAAACACATTTCTTAATGGAGCTAGCTAGCTAAGAGAGAGAAATCAAATATTCATAGAACAATAAAATAAATCTTTAGAGTTAATTACCACAGGTACAAGAAAAACACTTTCTGCTACCTGAATGTGAAGAGAGTTCCCATGTCCAACATAGAAAGCAGCTCTGCTTTTGACTTGGGGAAGGAGAGGCGATAGCGTAGAGTCTCAAAGGCAGGAACGATCAGAGCTTTCTTGGTGTTGGCCAAGTCTAACTGAATGACGGACTTCCTGGCGGAGAGAAGCAACAAATACAAGTCAGCAAATTTCAACTTGAGCAAATTATTTGACTTTTCAAGAAAAGAAGATATAGAAAGAGTGGTTTCATATTGTAAATGCGACTGTGGCTCACATTTTTTTCCCTGGTTTGCCTTGTATTTTCCTCTATTTTAATCTACTGCTTTAAGAACAAGAAGTATAATAGTTTTCAAAAAGAGCATGATGTCTGAGGTGTGCTTGAGTGATCAATGCTACCTACATGTCCACAGAAACGATCTATTACTCTCCTCTAAGAGAGTCCTATAAAAGAAACACAGTCAGATCTGTTTATTTTACTACAGATTACATGAAAGTGCTGCCCAGACAACGATAGCTCTAACAAAAAGAGGGATTTATGCAGAACTCAGGGGGGACTTTACAAGAGCAGGAACTSGGCAGTGTAGCTACACGTTAGCCCAGCCCTTGTCTGTGCTTTCTGGGCCATCATAATTCCCTTTTCCCTCTGCTTTACATCACTGAGAGGTAAGTACAAACTCACTATGGACCAGCCAGTTGTCCACACAAACACTGGATGCCTCACTGGTCAGTCCTTGTTCAAGGCACAGAGGAATTGCAATAGGACGTGATGCAAATTAGCAAAAATGTAAACTAATGGAAGTTTATTACTGTTATTATTCACACCTGCYACAGTGCTTGGAGACTGGAGCTCAWCTGTGCTCAGMGCTGTACACAGGGCAGAGGCTGGTCTGTGCAGAGCAGAGCTGAGGGTGCACGGAGGTCCTTGCTCTTTGCCTTCTTCTGCTGTGACCTGCTCAGTGCTGAAACTGTCACAGAGTGTGTGGGTGCACTCTGTGCTTCACACAACAGGGCCTTTTTCTAGACAGGGGCCTTGGGGTGACTGCTGCAGAACAACAGCTTAGCAATGTTATGCACAACCTTAAACCTGCCACAGGTATTCAGTCTTTTCTTTCCTAGCAAACTAAAACCCAGAAAGAAGAAAGTGATGTTACTTTTCCACTGCGAGACTGAATCTTACTATGCTTGCCACTAGAAATAGCTCTGTCTTGGTTTTCCTTTCATTATTTTCATATATCATATGAGAAGTCTCTCTCTCTCTCTTTCTCTCTGCCAAAATCAGTTCACCTTAATAGGGTTCACTGTCCTTGACTTTTATGTCACTGCAACAAGCAATCAAGAATAATGCTGAAGAACTACAAATTTTCTACAGCCTTTAAAATGAAGAAATTGGGATTGCAATCATAACACTAAAAAGTGCTTTTCCAGGTCTAGAATACCTAGAATTCATTTCTATTGCCATCAGAGAAGAACAGGGTTATCTAATAAAATTAGAATTTTAGAGAATTCATACCAGTCCTATTCTATAAAACGAATCTGTTCTCGGTGACTTATTGGAAAGTTTGCATTGTTTTAAGAACCACTGCTACATTCCAATGAACTTTTCACAACTGAAGGATTTTAACAGCTTCTTATTACAAATGTTTCTGTACTTTCTTGGTATCTTTTCCCTCACCGTCACTAATGGGCAAGATATCGGAGTGTAAATAGATGACTCCTTCACAATCTGCCTCCTCAACCTTCCCGAATCACTGAGCAGTGTCAGCATCCAGTCTTGATGACATTCCTAATGGTTCTTCCCCTTCTCACCTTCTTGCAAGCCCTGCATGCTAATATAATTTCTCTGACAATGTCTTTGGTTTTCTGGACTCTGTTCAAACTGTCAAATTTGAGCTATGCATCTTCAGGTGATGTTTGCAGTGACACAAAGGAAATAGCTGCTTTGTTCTATGACTATTGCTCTCTTTCTGTCTGATGACAAAAAGCTCAAAAGTCCCAGCAAAAATCAAGGTCCCACTGCACTTGGCAGTTTACAAAGGGTTGAAAACAATGCTGCCCACAAAACCTCACAGTCTGATATAGGATAAAGCTCAAGTAGGTGTGGGTATCAAGCAAGGGTAACAGCAGAGACTGTCAAGTGGAGTAACCTGTGGTGAAACCAGTGTTCGGCGTGACTTGTTTTGTAAGATACTGGATACAAACAAACAGTGATGTAGATATCTATAATCTTTGCTACATGCTCCCCACCTTTATCAACTGCAGATCTAATATCGGTATCAATGACATAAGTGGATGTTGGAAAGAGCAGAAGACAGTACTCTTAAGAACAAAAGTGAAAAGAAGCATGAACAGGCAGACACATGAGGCTGAAATCACTATCATAATCAAAAGTCAGGATGAAACGACAAGTACATGGAGAGAAGCTGATATCTGAAAACAAGAAGCTTGTGGTGGTTGCAGCCAATCCCATAGAATCAGTATTTCAAAGGTATTTCAAAGATGCAATAACATAGTGGGATAATCTATGCAGAAATAATTTCAAGAAATATGTGAGCATCTGAGGGGGGATCCTATTATGGCCAAAGTGGAGGGTTTCACTGTAATTGAGCTGAGGCTTGAGACAGGCTCAGTCAAGAACTCCAGTGGCATGGATCTCCAAGCAGAACAGCTTTTGATGAGGGCCAGATTACATACGGGACTAAAGTAAGCGGAAGAAGGAATCCGTGAGGACAGCGATGACTGCAGGATAGCACAGAACATACTGCTTTTGATGTTTTTGATCCTTACTTGCTTGTAAGTAAAGGGCCTATCTTAAGTCCCATAGATAAACAACATGAGCCAACCCAGTAAGGCTAAGGCTTTTGCCTATTCTTGCCTTTCACTTCACATTCTCAGTATCAATCAAATATTTTTCAGAGATTAGTTTTCTAGWGTCACCATCATAATTACAATCTAACCTCCTATGAGAAACAACTTTGTTTTTTGTTTCCTGTGGGGTGATCTTTTTCGTGTTTGATGGAAGGTGTTGATTGATTCTGTAATGTGTGGAAGAGGAAAATTTCTACTGTAAGTGTTGAAAGACAGGTGAAATATAAAACCAATAACACATTTGGTTATTTTGCAAACCAGCATTGGGAAAAATGTTTAATGTYTTACCCTTGTGAGAACCACTTTTTGGATTCAGTAATATAGTTTCATGGCTCATTCTTCCATATTTGTCATTTTTCCCAACTCCCAAAACAAGGATATATGATTTTGTGAAGAGCTTTCTCTTCACTAGTGTTGTCTGGGAAACTGTTTCCCAGGCATCTCTGTGTTCAGACCTAATGCATGTCACTCTGCACACAGAAGGTTGGACTAACTTTCTAATCTACTTGTAAACCCTATTTTTGTGAGGTGTGGAAAAAAGAAATCTTAAACCAAAAGAATCTCCTTGGAGGTTGAGCTATCTCCAGTACACTGATATCAGTCCTTTCATCTTCACATTCCTTTCCTCAAAATTAACAAATAATTCTTCTTCCTGTGTGAACAGACAGTATCATCCCCTTTTTGGAGGATGGGAAAGCTCATACAGAGAAAGTTTAGTAATGTAATCCTAAACCCTTGAAGCTGAAAAAAAAATCAATTTATTAATTTAAGTTCACTTTCATCATTTGGATGCTAATTGATTAGTCCAAGAACAATGTACCAAGCACACACATAGCTTGTTTTAAGATCAGAAGAGCTGTCAGTCCAGTGTCAAAATTGTTAGAACATTCTTTCTGTCTGCAAAAATGGCGAATGCATAACCTATGAATGTGTCCAACAAATAAAAATTAGCAGTCAGAACATGGAGCTYATCTCTTGCTGAGATGCTAAAGAGCAACTTCACAATTAAGGCTGGAAAGGAAAGGTAGAAAACCTGTGGCTAGAGCTTGGATACAGGTTCCCAATTCATGCTAAATGCATCACTGTAAGGGCAGAGTTTACATAAATGGATCAGGAAGGAAGTTCAATGCTACTGGTCAGTGGCAATTATAGATACCATAGAAAAACTGCCTGTCCTAAACTGCCTAAAGGTTGTAAGAACCTTTAGGATGACACACAAACATTACATATGGTGATCAGAAAGGTCCATGGCAGTAACAAGATGACCTCAGTAATTGATAACTGAAGGTGACAAAGAGCTTCTACTCAGCAGGGACCACAGAAGCCTCTGAGTTTTGTAAGCAAGGAATCTTTAAATRACACATTTCTTTCCTTGTGCACTTTACAGAAGAATAAGGTGGGATAGAAACAGGTTTTGATGGAGATTAAAAGCATAGAARTGGCCTTACTTAACAGCTGTGGAAAATCTCAATCTAAGTGCCAGTAAGAGATACACAGAGGGACAACTAACTATAAACAACTTCTTCAAAAACCCTTCACGCACAACAATATGTCAAAGTGTTTTTCAAAATTCCTCTCCTAGAATAGTCTGCAGATCCAACATTTACAGTCTATGTAAAACTGTAAAAAGTGAAGACCTGTCCTATACAAAGCCATGGCTAGAACACCACACTATTTCTATTTGCTTACAGTTATTTTATCTGTGAAAATGAAGATGAAAATTGCCTTTCTAAAGAACAGTTGCTAATATTCAGATAGATAGCAGTAATTAGCTATCTGCAGAGTCAATGCAGAAAGATACAGGGTATTAGTATTTAAAATAATCTCATAGGCCCCCTATTTGCTCAGAAAAAAGAATCATTACTTGAACAGCTATAAAAGATTCCTGTCCACACACACAAAATTCCAATTCCTTTTTAAAGAGCTAGTACTGGCATATTAGCAATTTTGATATTCCTGGGCAGCAGAGGCTCACAATCAGACTTAAGCATATGAGACTCACGAAAAGACTTGTAAAGTCACACAAGGTCTCAGATGCAACAATTTTCAGTTTTCAGTTTCTGTTTGCTTTCCGATCAACACCAATGGATGGCACCACTGTTCATTTAGTCTAAGATTCATTATCATCACCTGAGAATAATTTCCATGGCTGTAATGTTTCAAGTGTATTGTGCTACATCATTCTGTCTTCTCTTTTCAAGTGTTGTCTCCCATCAGTGCACTGTGAAGCAGCATGGAGGAACAGGTCACGTTTTTTGCTAATACATGTCAGTATCAATAGAGGGGATCTTTACTGTGCCCAGCATCAAGCTGATCAAATGTACCCTATACAGCAGTAACATAAATGAACAGAAAAGCTAATAAAATAGTCCCCATACACATCCTGAAACAGTTACTCTGTAGCAGGGACAGAATTCTTTTGTGGTCCTCATAGCATAGCCAAGAAGAAATATACCTAAAATAAGTGAGAAACAAGGTGACACAATGGTGTATAACTTAAATGATATTATTCAACCCCAAAGCCTTAAACAACAGAGTGAATTTGGCCCAGAATATGGTTGTAGAAAGTAAGAAARGCAGTGAAGTCTTCATTTGAGGTGAAGGAGAGAGAAAGAAGAAACTTAGCTATAGCTTGAAACAAAGGAATTTGTCTACAGGTTCATGCTACAGGAAGTTATCTTTACACTCCAGAAATGTGGGAGTGTACTATGCACTTAAYGCAACACTTACATGGCAAGCTCACACTGGAACCTTTTGCCAAACTTAAGCAGAGATGAAAAGTAAAACTGGAACGGCTTAAGAAAATGAAATCCTCCTGTCTGGCCACAGGGAGTCCTCCTTGCTCTATTCTTTGCCCTCAGATGACCATCCTCTGTAAGAGGGAAAAGGTCTCTATTAAAAGAAACTGTGCTAATGGATCAGCGGCTCAGCCCAAACAGCTCACAGTCTTTATGGTACAATTCACACTGAAGTTACTCTTCCCCCTTTTCCCTGTACTAATTATTTGGCCTTGACAGGTGCTGGCCTTGCAATCATATTATTGAGAAAATTACACTATCGCTCTATTTTCAAGACACAGAACTGGATTAACAGTGTGTCATAGGGACAGCTAGTTCAGTAAGGTTTTGTACACTTCCTTCCATCTCCAACACTGAGAAACAGGGATGTTTAGGGAAACTGCCTGGTTCACATCTCTGCTAATATAGGAAGCTATTGCACATTTAATAATGCTTAGTCCAGCTCAGATTTCAAACTGATTCCTCTGATGCTGCAAAAGAATTCCTCTGATAGCTAGGAGAGCTCACATTTAGATCTGACTTTTTTTCCTTAACCGTGTTACCTTACTTCTAATTACAGCCTCCTTTTCTACTCCAAAAATATTTATTTTCCTTTGCTGGGCACTGTCAAATCAAATATTTATTGAAGCTGTTTAATAGGCTCTCTTTCAGACCTCTCTTTAATAGGCTCTCTTTCAGACCTGGTCAAAGTTTATTGCTTCAGCAATGAGGTAGAAGTGTCAGCAATGAGGTAGAAGTGTGGGTGTTGGAATAGCTGGAAAACTGGATGGCAGCAGGAAACACCCCAGTGTCTTCTTACCTGAGGTACTCATAGAGTCCATACATGGGCAAGAAGTCAATGTCAGAAAGAAACATGTATGGGGTGCTGATATGCTTCATGGCCACGTTGCGCAGAAGATTCACGGGGTAGAACTGGCCCTCCTTGTACACGATGTGGTATCCAACATTGTGGCGGCTCATGAGGACTTCTGAGCCCTGGGCATAGCGCAGGAATTGTTGAGCTTCTGCATCAGAGAGATAGAGGGCCAGGCTGATTGGACCTTCCCAGTGTTTGCAGATGGCTTCAAGCATCTGGAGCCTGAAAGAAGAAGGGAAGAATAAGGAAAGTCTATTTCCCTGCCTGGGACTTTTTGCTTGTGATTCATCTGATCAAATACAGATATCTATATCTAAGCGAGACAGATTGGGGTCACTCTATATCCTGTGGAAAGCAATAAACATTTCTACAGTGCAATTCATCTCATCTAAGTCGATGTTTCTTTCTGGACAGATGCACTGCACCATAGCCATGGCTATTTTTTTTCCACTGAATACCAGGGTGTCTACAGTGACTACAGTTCAGATACAAACACACAAAATATAAGTACCTAAATTCAAGAAGAATTCATCATCACTTTCTCTGCCTAAATCCTCAACACAGCAAGAAAACCCTAAAGGATAATTCCCTTCTGATGTTAGTTTTGAGCAGTTGCAGGGATCTGTCCTTGTGGGTTGACAGGACAGGGGTCTTGTAATCTTAAGAACGCCTCGTTGCCCAGCTCACACTTTAGAATAAGGTGGTCTCACACACTGACACACCACTGTGCCTTTCCAGAAGTCTGTGGAGGATGAATGGTGTAGAGACCCTCAGACCATTTCATCCACTGTTGAGGAAATCTTGCCCAAATTTTTGCAAAGCAGTGAATCAGATCTTAGAAGCTGGGTCAAGGGAATACTGAGTTATAAGAACATTTGCATTGACCAAAACAAAAAGTGCTGTTTTGGGCAAAGGATGAAACATCAACAGAAACAGAAACGACATTGCATGGCTATGAAGTATAAACAGACAAAAATAAAACATTTCCAATAGAAACATCCTTTTAAATATTAATTTGTGTATGTTACAGCAGTATCTACTCATGCTTCACAAAGTAGCACATCAATGTATATACTTTCAAATGCACATAATTTACAGCATTATTGATGAAAAAGACAGCAAAAGATCTCACATAAAGTTAAATCAAATTCAGTCTGGTCAAAATAGTTTGTGTATTTTGGCAAATTTATACAGAACTGGCTAGAGATTAAGATATACTGCTTGAAAATACATCAAGACTGATAACAAACCCTCTTCAGTCATGTAAAGAGAAATGAACCTATGCAGCCTAGCTAGACATTCTATTAAAAATTAGGAAGAGCAGACTAGGCAACATGATTATCTTTTCTACCTTTCAAATCCACATTTTTCCTATTAATATTTATGCAGAACACAAAAAAAGTTTTCTGTATCATTGTAATCAAAGAAAATAATTTCTGCTTTCTACTATCTCTCTAAGCTTTGCAGCAAAAAGGGATGATATAGTCATACCAGCAAACACAAATTCTGATTTAACATTAATAGTTTTTTTTTCCACAATGTTGCTGAATGATCCTGATGACATCCAAGAAGATATAATCATTTTTTCTTAGATAGGAGATATTACGTGTACTAGTTTATATGTGGTACATTATTTTCTTTTTTTCTATTATTGAAACAAAGGTTATTATCAGCTTGAAGCATAGAGCTGAACTAGAAACACAAATCGATAAAAAGGATCTCAAAAGCATGTGAAGGCTTTAGGCTTTAGATTGTGCAGATAATAAATAAAGTATATGCTTTTTGCCTTTTTCCAACACAGCGGAAACTTATTAATCAGCAGATTCCAATTCATCAGCACTCAGATTTAGGGCAACCTTTTATATTATACATGGAATACCTGCCTCAAAAGGAATGCAGCAGAATGCCTCCAAACAGGACTCCAAGCAGTGGACAAATAGCATGCATAACTTATTTAAATGGTGTATAACTTATTTAAATGGCACACCTGATAATGTCTGAAAAGATTTTCACAATAGTTAAGTAGGACCTGGGTTCTGCTGGTATAAGTTTCCAGCTAGGCAGCTTAGTTCTCTTCTGAATATTCTATTTTTCTGTGTCTTCCTTGCTGACAAGCTCCACTTCTGTGAGTTTGATACAGGGCCTGGGTGATGTTCCATAATCTGCACTCTGTAGGCATTTAGAACCATTTCTTCTGACCATAAAACTGAGAATTACAAGTTTCTAAGCACACCCTCAGCAAATAATGTCATTTTTTGTTAGTAGTTTTGTGGAATATTATCTCTTAAGGAATCCAGGGAAAACAACATACCCTCTCTACTGTGCAGTACTGCAATAAGATCATTATTTAGGTGGCACATTTTTCTTTTCTTTTCTAAGGTCCATTCTATTCACGGGAATTTTACTGGAATTCTGTAATACTATGAGTTTCCGGTTTTCCTTTCAAGAACATCAAACCAATTTACAACTCATTCTTACTCTAATTTCAAAGTCTTGTGCCTTTCCTTGACGACATTCTGGTCTTACATCTTTTTTTTTAACTTTCATCCTAATTTCTGAAACCTAGCTATGCACCATGCCTTTAAAAAGGCTACCTAGYCAAAACACCCTGTTGAAAATCCCTCACACAGCCCATGATATGACCAAGCCATTATTACAGAAAATGTCACATCAGTACAAAATGTGACAGTTCAACAATAACAAACAGCGCTGAACAAAGTCACCCTCAGTGCTTGCATCTGAAGATATTACTGCTGGCTCCTAAAATGCACCACTGCTCTCTGTTCCCCAAGCCTACAGTGCAGACACATGTAAACCTGTCACCACCGATGTGTCACTCGGCTCCAATGGGGCTGCAACTGCAGACTTGCTTTTTTGTTTTGCCTTATTTCAGGCAGTTACTTGAATGAATGATGCAGCAGTGTGGGAAATAGCACACTGTTTATGTAGATGTCATCTTACATCTGAGGTGCTATGTAAATGTCTATAGCTACTCTGGAGGAGTTAAATAAATGTGGTGTACAGAAGACCTAAAAAATACAGCAGCAACTGAAAGAAGTGAAAAAAAAAAACAACAAAATGGCTAAACACATCTTTGGTATGATATTATTTATTGATTTTAGCTGAAAGAGAGTATTTCCAACCCAAATCAATAATTTATAGCAACACACCAATGAAGCAGGAAAGATTTTTCCTGCACAGTATCAGGAGGGTTGTTCTATCTGAATAAAAATGTGTGGTTCTGTCTATCAATAAAAACATGTGCCCCGGTGAGGATCCAGAAAGGGAAACAGATGCTCAGATTTTGCATCAGTGCCAGTGAAACAGCACCAAGCTGCAGCTCATTCTTTTGAATTAAATTCTAGGGGGAAAATACACCATGTGCACACACCAGCTTTACTAATTTATTGTGGCATTCGCTCGGGGTCTGACTTAATTTATTTCTTTAGTTTTTTTAGTCAAAGGTTTGTGAACACTCAAGAAATGTTTCCTCAATTAAAAATCAATAGAACAGACACCGATGAGCATAGCAAATCATAATAGGATGTGCACAATGCAGAGCCGAGGTACTGGTAAAGCAAAATAGCCCTTGTTTGTGTTTATTTTTAAAACAGGCTGTAAATGCTGTRTTGCTCTGAATTCCTCTGACTCTCTTCCTCCCTGGAATACAGCTGACCTTCCACTGGCGTCTATCAATGTGCAGCACCGGCGGTGTCCACAGGGCATCTTGCATTCCTTACGTGCACTGCTAAAGGAAGCTACACGAAGTACCAGTTGCCTGCTTATATTCAAGTAGGTCTGCTCTGTTTTGTAACTCTGATAGCAACAACAACAAAGTTTGGATTGGGTTTGAATGGCGAAGAAGAAAGAAAAAAAGATTGACCATTTCAAAATATAACTGAGTTGCCTGATTTGAGATGTATTTTCTGGGCTTCTGGAAAAGTGCAAACTCAAAGCAATGGTGGGAATCAGAAAGGTGCAGGTAAATCTTTGCATGGAATTGATACATTTTTTTCCTCAAAGAAAATATCAGCATTTGGAAATTCTACTTTACATCAGAACTGAACGTTGAAAAGACTTACATTGGAAATATTACTCTGAAAATTAATATTTGAATTAAAATGCAGACTCCTCTCCAAAGGAGTTTTAAATTTACACTAGAACCTTTGCATAAGAAAAGAAGTTTATTTTAAATCATTGGATTTAAAACAAAAATGTTCAGGTTTGACTYGCACTATAAGGAAAATCAAATCATTATTTGAAACTTTCCACAAGGAAATGATCAATGGAATTAAAACTAGCATTGCCTAACAGGGAAATACTGTTCTTGTAACCAGCTACTTAAACACTTAAACTCACCAAAATTGTCTCTTTCTTTTTTCTAAGTCACTGTAAAAAAACTCCACAAATAATGTCTTTCAGTCCYGACAGAAAACAACCCCTGTTCTCCAGCAATGAAACCTTTTGTGAGCTCTGCACAAGTCCACTGCAGAGCTGAACTGCAGATACATGCGTAATATTTACATGTGCTACTTCTAATTTAAAGCAGGAGTTAAAACATGCTATTTCAGTTTTCTGTGAAGATAACTTTTTTCCTCTCCCTGAATCATGACAAAGCTGGATTCCTGGGGAAGTTCTTGCAATCTAAGAACATCTTCACTGCCCTTCACTTCGTGATGAACGAGAGGTCTTTCCTACCTGTCCATTGAAAGCTGAGCCACCAGCGTTACATCAGTGTTGTCTGAAGCAGGCTCATACTCGTAATGTAGAAAATACAAATGAGTGCGATGGACGGTGAACCGTTCTCGTCGAAATTCGTAGCACAAATCATCCTCATCCAGCTCAGACAGTTGTTTCTGGAGCTGTAAGGAAAGAGTGGACAGAAAGATACCTTCTTTACAATTCCCTGTGCAATCAGGAGAGAAAAAGGACAACTTGGGAACCTGCAGCATGAGGCAACGAGGAGATTAAGTGAGGCAGACAGAGGAGCAGTGATTTCCCAACCTCCATTCTGCCGCCTCTGTTGGAGGAGCTAAGCACTGGTAGATGGAAAAGTAACATCTTAAACTGACCATTAATTAATGCCTTGAGACTTATGGATTTGTACCAGTTTAATTTTGCACTGAAATTACTCATTGAGCTGTAGCTGACAGCATTAAGCCTACATTTTTAACAGGATTTGTGATTCTGGATATCCAGTTTGAGCAGTCCAAAGATGTCAGATTAACAGAAAACAGGTAATTTTTGTCTCTTGTGAAAATCAAGCCCTTTCAAAGTCAAAATGAGCCTCTCAAAAGGAAGTACTCCAATCTTGAGTCACTTTAACGTGTATTTTTAAGAGCAAAGTAAGTTCAGCTCTGGGAAAAGAAGGGAGAGAAAAAATCATCAACTCCCCAAATTTCTGGCCAATTTAATTCCTGAACTAAATTGCTTGAAAGCCAAGAAATTGGATAGATTATTTAAAAGGGACTTTAAAAAGCGCCAATTTAATTCCTGAACTAAATTGCTTGAAAGCCAAGAAATTGGATAGATTATTTAAAAGGGACTTTAAAAAAAAAAAAAAAAAAAAAAAAAAAAAAAAAAAAAAAAAAAAAAAAAAAAAAAAAAAGCACCCTTGTTGCAAAATATAATGAGTAAAAATTATTTATGGTCTTAACACATAAAACTAAGCTCTGAGTCACTCTAAAATGTAAATTTATAAAGGTATATCATTTATATACCTTATTACTTAAATAGGATTAACCAGAAAAAAAGAAGTTAAAATTATTTTAACAATTTTATAGTTTTTATTTACAGGATTTAACAAAAAATACATTTCACTTTAAAATCGTTTTGTGAAACACTTTATGAATTATATTAATATTTTTCAGATTTAAAAATATCTTGATTTTGCCCTGTTCAGAATRATATAAAGTAATATTTTGACACTATTTTTAAGGAAAGAATTGAAAAATATGGGAGTTTCTTGTAGTAATATTCAGAGAAGAAAAGCTCTTGTTCTTGGAACTGTAAGTATAATGGTTGCTGTCAACCATAATGCTCACAGCTGAATGTTTTCCTGTGAAGCCTGATGGAATAATTCCTGATATTTTCCTGTATATTACTCTTTAATCTTCTTGTGAATAATGGAAACAACCTCTTTGATTTCAATGAGCCTCTGGTTCTTCCTTGTTATTGTTCAACAGGGATCTTAAAACACCACCCAAGAGAGATTGCTTTTAGAAAGATGAGAATACGAATCTTGACAAACCTTTGCTCAAGCAAAACTTCCATTTAAATCAGGTTTCTTTTGGTGGAATAGAAATCAGGACTTCTTTTATATCTTGTTGAATTTTCATTCTGCAGTRTAAATCATCATTCAGCTGAGCCACTACTTCATTTTCCAAAGCACATTCAAACAGTCTTTGAATTAAAATCTGATATTGACAATGACTATCAAGAATACTTCATAATTTCTGTTTCTTCCTTGAACAGAAACATTAGCACACCCCTCTCAGAATCCTCAATCCACCTCAGGTTTATATGGTTAAAAATACAGCAAAGCAGTTGCTTTGCTCAAGGATACCTTACTATCTTACTTTACATACAAATGACTGGCTGGAAGTTTTTAATTGCACAGCAGCTATTAACCAGCCCTTCACTGAAAGATTATCGGATTATATTCGAGTTGCAAGCTTAAAGGGGTATAAATACTCTCTTTTTTTTTTTTTTTTTTCCCTATGATTTTATCCTGCAGTGTCAAGGCCTCAGAAAACTAGAAAGTAGGATCCACCCTGTGAAAATTTCCCTCGTGTTGGAAGCAATCCTGGATATTGCAGGCACCCTGGCTTTGGTCCAGCAAAACGTGTAAGCTCATGAGCTATCTTTGCGAAGCTAATAGCATGACATGCCCAAAGCATCGGGAGCGGCGTGCRGAGAGCTCTGCTGGATTGTGCACTGGGAAGCACAGAGACGCTCCATGTCGCCCGAGTTCTGCACGGTCGGGAAAAATTAGTCCCTGGAAATCTTCAGGGGATAATTAGCCAGCTTCTTTTCTCTTGTATCCAATCTATTTCAAGGACAATGCTGTTGTAGGTTTTTTTTTTTTCCTGCTATTTTTTCAAGTGAAATTCTTAGAGCTACCAGAGTATAATGGAGCAGTGCAGACAATTTCCAAAGCTGAATAAACAGGCAAATTTCTCCCTCCTTTCTTTCCTCCAGATCCTCYAAAACCATATTTTTGAAAATGGCTATCTTCCTATTTGAACACCTCTTTTCTTCTGATGCCTGACAGCAGCAGAAGGTGAAGAAAATGCTGCAAAATGAATCCTCAAAATCTAGGAGTGAAACCCGTCCTATATTTCTTTCGGTTAAAAATGCTCCATCTTCACAGTACATCTGAGTTTAACAAAACCAGTGTCTCTGCTCTCCAGCTTGCCTAACGTTTGCCAAAAACAAAAACACAACAGGGCAGAAAGTGAGGCAGAAGAAATAAAAACAAAATGTATTTTCAACATAACCAAAATAAACAAACAAAATAAAACAACAAAAAAGAATTCAGGCCATATCGTTCAATTCTAGCAATTCAGGAAAAAGAAGTCCTTCCTCAAAAAACAGTGTTTCTTTTGAACAAAGCCCAAGTTTTTGGTTTTGCTATGCATGTCTCTTGTACGCTAAACTCCGAAACATAAAGACTTATCCTTAGAGTGACAGTGTGTATATTGCAAAAGCAAGAACATGCTTAGCATGAGATTCACCGTTTCTATAAGACTTGTTTCTAGAAGTGGCCAGGACCACTAACTAGCCATGACCATGGGGGAAATCTCACCTCAAGGACATACTCTTGCAGGTGAAAAGAGGTGTTCTTTTCAGACTGTGTACAGTAGATGTTCTCTTAAGAAATACGACAGTGCAAAACAGCAAGTGCTTCCAAAGAGCATCATGATATTACTATTTCATATGTAAAATGGCAGCAACCAGAATGTGCAGTGACATCCAGGAGAGCAAAACAAAGAGGCAGGTATATCCAAAAACATAATGCATTTGCTAAGTTACTTCTCTGGCCGTGGCAGGTGATCAGACTTCTTCTCAAGGAAAGCAGCCTTTGAGGCTTGGCTGGACATACAGCACAAGTGGGACAGGGGGTACTGAACTCTATCGTAAATCCTCATCATTTACCATGTCCAGTTACCTGACTAACATGCTTATATGAGACAAGGTGGTGTATTCTAACCATGTGATAAGATTACCAACCCATATAATAAATGGCATACAGTGTGTACCTTCACTGACAAGCTGGTAGTCTGCTCATGAATCTCTTTTCAGCCTGTTTCTAGGATGAATATATTTATGATTAGCTGCTGCTTCTTTGCTTTTTTTTCTTTCTTTTTTTTTGAATTGCTGTATCACAAGAACATTTTACTTCCCACCAAAATCTATAGGTTTTCACCCCATGTGAGATGAATCCAAACCCAGGATCAAGAGTATTTTAGTTATAATCAAAACAAACAAACAAATGGTGTTTTACATATACTCCACCTGGGAGTCCTGGCTTCACCACAGCAGAAAGGAGGAAATCCGGGCTTCCTTCATGATGTACAATTTAGTTAGCAAGATTTAAAATGACAGAGTTCTCATCTGAGCAAAATCTATTTCCAGACATTTTAAAAGAGGTATTTGCACTTTAATTTCCCTCCTCCTCTCTGTTTCAGGTGTGCCAACAGTCCTGCACTGCCTCTGCATCTTAGCACCTCTCAGTCCTTGTTGTGCTCAACCTCACAAAACCCTCTGAGCGAATGAGATGCTGTATTCTGAGTCCCTTCAAGGTAAGGGGCTCTGCACTTATCCCTTTTACAGACTCTTAGCTGAGATGCCTGAATTAGTGTTCAAAAGGAGAGGAAAAAGGCATGTCCTAGGGCAATTTAGATCATCTTGCCTTATCCTAGGTGTGTGCAGTTAAGACTCACAGCACAAAGGCAACCCAGACATTGAGACAGACAGAAAATAACACCAGCTCAGGATGTAACTATAAGCTGGTTATAAAACGCAGCAGTTTCATTTTCTCCAGTGTAGCTGTCCCAGTTCCCACCAGTAGGCAATTTGGCTTGCAACATTTAGCACTTTTAAGAGTGTGTGAGCTAACTGTTGCCTTTAGCGTGGCATAAACACAACAGATGATGATGTAGGGAGAAAAAGCATTCACTGAGTCTTGTCTGGGGGATGACCTRCATAGAGCACTTCTGGCTTTTCTGACGATTAGTAGTAAAAGCAAGACTAATCCTATGTCAATTAAACCTTTATTCTTCTCACACTATAAAATTTTGTGCATTTGCTATGGGCCAAATTGTGTTTTCTTTGTAAAACAAAACTGCCAAAGAGAAGGATACTGTTTGAGCAACCTACCTCGCAAGAGGAAATTTGCTGTAGCTTATGAGAAGGTAGACAATAGTCTTGCTACAGGAAAGTAATGTACAGTCAACACTCGGAGTTTTCCACAGGCCTAACAGAGTGATCAATTCCGTTCATATAAAGTACAGTCTCCCTTGATCTCAACTGCAGCCGTGAGAGCTTGGTGCCCCATTCCACTACCCCTTGCCAAATACTCTTGGCTCAGCTGTTCCCGGTGCTCCCTTGCAGCACCGTTCCTTGACAGGTTGGTCTCCTGGCTTTTGTTTGCCCAGATTGTTCCCAGCCCTGGCCTTCTCATGTGGCGAGTTTCCCAGTCTCTCCTAAATCTTAATACAGTTTTCCTAATGGAAAAGTCCCTCTGCTATCACTAGCCCCAAGGTACCTGTTCAAGCAGGCTGCTAATTCCCTGCAGCTTTCCCAGTGCACCTATCCATGAGTCCTTCATGCTCGCAATGCAACCTCTCCAGACCTTATC